TTTTTTTTTTTAGTAAGCCCATTGTCACCTGTCTGCCCCTTCCCTACTTCACCCTCCAAAGAAAAAGGCACTTAAGGGTAGTAAAGTGTCATTAGTGCTGCAAAGCYGTGACCAAGCACACAGTCACGCGTGGTGCTCAGGTAAGAGCTGGGTGCTTTATTTGAACAGCATACCAAGTTTTTTGAGTTTCTCCATCTGGGGGACACAGCAGCCCATGCAGCCAGCTGGGGAACTGCCTTGAACGCCTTTTCCTGCGGGAGGTGAGAGAAGGTGTGGAGGGTGCCAGGCTCAGCGGACCTCACCGCACAGTCCTTGACCACAACGAGCCTTCTCATCGGTGGCCAGCGATAGGACAAGGGGCAATGGGCATAAGCTGAAACACAGGAGGTTCCATCTCCAGGTGAGGAGGAACTTSTGCACTGTGAGGGTGCCAGAGCCCTGGACAGGCTGCCCAGGGAGCCTGTGGAGTCTCCTTCTCTGGAGGTCTCCAAACCCRCCTGGATGCCGCCCTGTGCCCCGTGCTCTGGGTCCATCCTGGAGCAGGAAGGTTGGACTAGATGATCTCRAGAGGYCCCTTCCAACCTGGAACAGTCTGTGATTCTGTGAGTCCTCCTTGGCCCCCGGGCTTTGCTCCTCTCATCAGTGGAGGCACCCGGGACACTTCTGCACCCACGATTTGCCCGTGTCCTGGTGTCCCTCCCTTTCCCATCGGACCCACTAGCCTCAAGGCGCAAGGAGTCGATCCGCATGGTTTAGCTCCCGATGTTCATTAAGGGATTAGCTTCCAGCCCGAACCGTGAAGATGGCCTGGCCTCCGCGGAGCCTCCTGTGGAGGGCCCGGCCTCGACGCGGCCGCGGGAGCGTCTGCGCCACGTTAGCCTGGCGAGGAGCGCGCCGCGTAGGTGAGGCCGTGGGCAGAGCCAGGGATGCTGGTAACCGAACGGTTTTCCTTGTTGGTTGCAATGACTTGTTGCTTTTCCATCTAAGCGAAATGTCGTTTCTGAAAGGAACAAACTGTAACTAGGTCCCCACTGGCATTTTTTTTCATATTAACAACACATTTACATTTTTTCCCCCGATAAAGGCATGGAATGTTCTGGCCCTGGATGGCAGTAACTGGCAGCGAATTGACCTGTTCAATTTCCAGAGGGATATTGAGGTATAATTAAGTGACATACAAACCCATTTTTCTTGTTAAAATGTAATTACAGCCTAGAATGGATTAATACTCCCACTGTAACCCTTTTTTCCCTCCCTGGAGATAGAAGTCATTAATTTGAGTTCCTCTTAGCTTCAGGGAGTCTTTAAAGTCTTGACAATCCATTCAGCTTTTGAAAATGGACGGAATTCTCTATCTGTATCAAGACTTAAAGGTAGTAATGAAGGGAGAATGTTTTTATATGGATTCTGGAAACAAAGAAGGAAGGAAGAGGAGTTCTTGTGAAAATTACTGCTTATGTATGGCAGAACTTAAGCTACCTTTCCTGTCCCTCAAAAATGCTTACATAAAGTCAATGTAGACCGTGGAGACTAGGGACTTGCTTTCACACATGGCCTTCAATAGGCTTCTTTTTCCTGTCTTTAATATTAAAATTGAAGTGTAAATGAAGATGATGCAGAGGGGCCCTGGATCAAAATTGCCCTCAAAATATATTGCAGTGGAACTGCCTCTTTCTATGTTAGTTTGGTCCCATACAACTCAGATTGGAGTGGATGGTGCTGTCATGCTGTTGAGAAAGTTCAAATTTCATTAAACAGGGTAAGAGGCAAACCTGAAGTTTCTTAGCAAAATGTTTATATTCTGTTTAAAGCGATTTGAAGCAGGGAGGTAGGAAGTGTATAATTTTTAGTTCATTAGACAGGCAGAAACCAGAGGATCCCTGAAGATTCACACCTGATGGGAAATGTTCATAATATTTATGAAGAAGGGACTTGGAATAATCTCTCTCTGCCAGCCACGTATCTGGGCAGCTGAGATACACGAGTAAAGGATGTGCCAGGGACAGGACAGTGACTCCTGTGTGTTTGCAGGGGTCCCAATGGCCTGAGACTGCTTGAAGAAAGTAAACCATGGGATTTTGGTTCTCGATAGTAAATACTCAGCTTCTTAACCCTGCCAGTTCTGGACCCAAGTGATCCTTTGCTTTCGTAGGGGTACAGTCCAGTTGTTAATGGTTCTTGATCTGGGAAGGTTTTTGGCTTTTCCCCATTCTTGAGAGGCTTTTGCATGGTTTTAATATCTCCATGTTCTCTGTACATGGAAACACGTGTTCCTTCTTAAACATTGACCTCCCCTTTGAAACCAAGTACAAATATATTGTACCTAACCTAAAATACGCGCTTAGGCTTCCTTGTGCCCTAAATGGACACAATGGACACATATTTGCTTTAAAGGAGCTCGGCCCCAGCAATCCATGTAAATTCCACATATTGGATGAGTGTCTTTGAATCCTCCAGCCCAAGCACATGAGTTCGCAATCATGCTGGAGGAACTGCAAAGGTTCATATCACGTCCCGGATTCTGCAGCCTTTCTCCACTGAAAGGCAGGTTGAGCTTTCAGGTTTCTGTCAGGTGCTGGGCGGTGCAGCTTAGTTTGAAACGGTAAATATCTGAGAAATGTTCACTTTAACTGAATTGCCCTCAGTCTGTTGGAGGGGGGAAAAAAAAAGGGGTTGCATCCCTTTTTCTTTGAGATTAAAACTGATGGGCTAGTTCTGCCTCATTCTGTCTTTTCAGTAGAAATTTATCCRTTTCTAGCACATTCACTGTAGTTATTTGCAGCGCTCTCTGCCTGTTGTGCAGCAGAGGGGTTGCTGCTCTCGTCCTCCTTGGCTGGTCCGTGTGGATGCCCAGGAGCTCTGGACTGGAGGATGTTCCTCCCCCGCTAGCCTGAGCTTGCTTGCTCTGCCTCTGGGTAATCGCTCCACGTCTCTCCATCTTCAGAAGCTGAATAATTCTCCCTCTCCCTGTCTTAGCTTATTATGATGGCCTTTTTGTTTTCTTAGCACTGTTTTAGCTAGAATAACAAACTGTTGTTAATCTACAAAGTTTTGAATTCAACTTTGTCAATGCTGAGCTCCTTTTTTTTGTAGTTATTTTTAATGTAATTTTTTTTGTCTCTGGCAGGGTCGAGTAGTGGAGAATATTTCTAAAAGATGTGGGGGTTTCTTGCGGAAGTTGAGCCTCCGTGGCTGTCAAGGAGTGGGAGACAACGCGTTAAGGTACTGGCATGGCTTTGTTTGCTCCTAAACACAGCGCAAAGAATGATTCCATTTCCGCCATCGAAAAGGACTTGAGTAATTTGGGAGTACTTTGGGATTGAGATCTTAAAACCTCCAAAAGCGGTAGCACATAAGCCTTTTTGTTATATTGKTTTTTTTGCCTTAACACAGTAGCTATTTTCATCAATATAAATAACTTACCGGGATAAGCAGGATAAATAAGGGGCACTGAATGACAAACTTCTGCCTTTAGTCTGCAAAGTCCCTACACAAGATACAGGACAGCCCTAGTTACTTTTTKTCCTTTTTGCTTGAGGCAGTTGCTTAAAACTTTCTGATGCTTTGATGTTAAAGCGAATGTTTTAGAACACAGAGAAATCTGTCAATTAAAGAAAGCTGTGTTTTATCTTTCCTTTATGAAGGACATTTGCACAGAATTGCAGAAATATTGAAGTTCTGAACCTAAATGGCTGCACCAAGATCACAGATGCGTGAGTACCATTCTCTTCTCCCTGTCATCCTCTTTGCTGCCTGCCCTGTGTTGTTTTCCCCATCTCCTGTGGAAGGGGAGGCTAGGCTGGGATGTGCAGTAGGCAATTATAATGCATATCACATGAAATGTGTATGAATAAACACATCAGATGACACTGTTGTGTGTTCTCTTGCAGTACATGTACCAGTCTCAGTAAGTTCTGCTCTAAACTCAGGCACCTTGATTTGGCTTCCTGCACTTCCATAACCAACTTGTCTCTGAAAGCACTGAGGTAGGAGCTGCCAACATTGACATTTGCCAGTTGACTGCAGGTAGCTTGAGCTGCCCYGTGGTTGCCTCAGCAGACACTGAAATGTGGATGCAACCACATTGTGAATGAGGGTGAGATGTCTTCTCAGACTGCTGAGGAGACACATAACTACTTAAATCTGCTAAAGGGAATTGCCAAGTAATCTAGAAAAGGAAGGGAAAAATCAGATATTGGTGGGAAGAGATTGGGACAGAGAAAAGGAGGCAAAAAACACTAAAGGTAATAGGGGCTGAGCTATTAAGACATTTTTAGTAATGTCCCAGCTGTATCATGGAAAAATAAGAGGAGGGTGCAGCTGGAAGAAGAACATAGCTTTGAAAAAGCAAATAAGTGACTACATTATTTTTGTAGCAGGATATTTCTCYGCTCCAGGGGTTTCCTATTTGTCTCTAATTTCACAGGCTCAAATTTGTGCTGTAGTTATCTCAAATACATGAGGGCATGTATACCTCTGCACGAGGGCAAGTCACCTGTGTGAATCTCACTCCTCTTGGCAGCTGTTTGTCAATGCAGAGTTGCACCTGGGAAGTTAGAAACAGCACGGCAGAAGTCATCCCTTTGTTTGCATTTCGATGAAGGTGGTTTGTTGTATGCAGATCCAGAAAGCTCCTAAATTTTGTCCTGGTATGAGAGTTGGGAGGTGTCCAAAAGGGGATGAATCCGTATTTTGCTGTGCTCTAAGGAGACCGAAGCTCCCACTCCTGCCTTTGGAGAGGTCTTTGCATCTGGGGATGATGTTTGACCAAGCCAAGTTCCCTGGATGGGGGCCTCCTGTGCAYGTGGGGATTCCACAAATGGGAATTTCCTAGATTCTGGCTTGAAACAGCATTTCTCTAAATAAACAAATTTGCACCTGCTTTTCCTTTCGTCTCCCAAGCGAGGGATGTCCACTGCTGGAACAGCTGAATATCTCCTGGTGCGACCAAGTGACCAAGGATGGCATCCAGGCCCTAGTGAGAGGTTGTGGGGGACTCAAAGCCCTGTTTCTGAGAGGCTGCACCCAGGTATGGCACTGCAGAGAGCACTCCAACAGAGTGAGGACTGCTAGTTTCTGCAGGAACTGAAAGTATGGGGATGAAGTCTTGTAGTTTTATTGGTTTTTTTTTTTTTTCTATTTCCAGAAATATTATGTTACTGAAATTATTCACAGTCTGTCTGGCTGGAGATTAAGTGCTTTTATTGAAATTTCTTAATAGCTTTGAGCTCAGCGTGAATAGTAGGACAGTGAACAAATTGCATATCTAGCTGTGAAATCATTCTTCCTTTTTTTCACTACTGGGAACACACTGAAAGAGTGTGCATTGTTTTTAAGATAACTCTGTTACTCATGCCTGGACCCATCTTTGGAAGGCTCAACGTTTTAGAGAGTCTGGTGGTACTTTGATCTGTAACCAGGTGAGAGGATTTTCCCTGCACGTCTCTTGGATCTCTAGCTAGTCAAAGAGAATCGCAGTGAATGTGAGCTCTTTGTGAAGGCTTCTCTGCAGCCAGTTGGAAACATTATCCCATTCCCCTACGTACATTTAGATAGCTTTTGAGGTAGGTGATAGTACATGCTGAAGAGACTCCCTGAAAAGATTTGTGATACTCATTTTTTGGAATATAAATGATGCACTGACTCCTACAGCTGGTACTTGACTTCCTTGCTCCTTATTCCTTTGGTTATTTAGGAACATTTATTTATTTTCTTATTTATATCATCACCGATACAGAGAAAAACAACTGTGTGTTTTTATTCTGCAAAAAGCATGTTTTTCCTGTGCATGCATGCAGAAAAACGTAAAAATTATAATAATGCAGTTGTGTATGAAAGTAATGCGCTTGTGTATAAAAAGCAATAACACACATTTTGTGTGCAAGCAAGCTTGGCTGTCGGGGCTGTAGTCAGTCATTTTTCAGTCATTTATAAGATGGGTGTATGTGGCTATAAAAAGAGGACTCGATCAGAGACATAACAATCTCCACCTATTTTTGGAGTTTGGATTATAGAAACAGCTTGAGCTGCTAGTAATTTATAGAGTCCTGAGAAATATTGATGTCAATACATCCTTGTTATCAATTATTTGCCATCTGTTCTTACAGATTTAAGAATTGCAGGCTTTCTTATTTTCGGAAAGCTTCATGGATGGCTGTTGTACTCCCTCTGATGAAATAACACTTTATTTGAGAGTGAAACTGCAACTATTGCAGTATAAAAACATGTTATTTGTAGGCCCTCCCTGGATCCTAGTGAGGAAATACCTAAATTTCTGTAAATAGTTTCTGATTTCACTTCTTGCTTGCTTTGTCATGCCTGTCAGATCAGATCAGCGTTTCTTTAAATCAGTAACTTGGTGCTGTGGGTCTTTGAACCCTGCCCCGAGGTGGTAAGAAGTGATGTGCACTCAATGCTATGTATTTTGAGACTGATATACTGCCCTCCCTCCCTCCCTGTACATATCCCAGCCATGGTGTTTTATTGTTCTGAAAGCTCTCTTTACAGATTATTCGAAGAATTAAGAGGTTGCTTCATTCTCTGTTCCTTTTCTTTGCAGCTTGAGGATGAAGCTCTCAAGTACATCGGCGCACATTGTCCCGAACTGGTGACTTTAAACCTTCAAACATGCTTAGTAAGTAAACCTGCTTGAGATTTCTCAGCTCAGCCATTGTGTATTTTAGACCATCTTCAAACACAACCGTGTAGAAGGTCCTTTTTCCCAGAAACACCATCATCTGTGCAGACAGGGCAATTAAGAAAAAGAAAAAAAATSAAAAAARATGAAAAACAGAAACAGCTTTTTGGTAATGTTGAATAAGCCCCCAAAACACTGTTTTAGCGTTCAGTTTGTCAGAGCTGCTTGTCTCTCTGCCCTGCCCACAGGGCTCGTAAACTCATTTGYAGGACTAGCTGGAAAAATTCTTTCCATTGGGCTGGAATGTTTGTTCAAGCCAGATCCACTCCAGTCTCTTTTTAAAATCGAACCAAGAAGTGCAGTTGCCATGCACAGGATTGTCAACCAGTTATTCTGCAGGGCCAAAAATATATGTTTAAGCCAGGACAGAAATTGTAAGGAGCTTTTTATACCCTCATGYATCTACTCCACACAGTGAATGCCTAGGCACTCCCTTCCTTTCCCACTGGAACAGGCAAGGCTTCCAGGGCTGCAGGACTGTCCTTTTTTTTTTTTTTCTTTCTCTCCAGTGTACAAAGGACTTTTAGCAAATCCTAGACTGACTAAAGGTTTGGTGTCCATCCACCTGAGCCTGGCTCCTTGCAAGGAAGATGTGAACTSTTAATAGCAAATGCCAGAGCTGCATCTGAAATCTGGGCAGGATTTTCCTTTTTTAAGTTCCTTGGAAGCTGTAGGAGTGAGCGAGGCTTAACCTGGGCCACCTCTGCCTGTCTGTTCATTGAGTCGGCCTAGATGATCTTGAGAGGTCCCTTCGAAGCTCAGCCGTTCTGTGGTGACCCTGGTGAGCAGCTGCACACAAACCTGGATTTCTAAACCCTGGCACCCTCTGCGTGCGTCACTCATCGTCCCACGCAGCTCGTGCCACAGCTGGGCTGAGTCCCGGGGCCTTCTGCACTCGCAGGGTAACATCTGGAACCGATTTGAGCACTGTTGGCACCCAGCACTTGTTAGCAGAGAACTGGAATGAGCCCTCTGTATCCAGAGGGGGTGCAGATACAACAATCTGCAGCCAGATTGATGGAGTCGYTAGGGCCCTGGCCTGGATTTGCTGTGGTCTAGACTACAATCCAGTGTCTTGCAGCTGAAATTTTGGTCCCCAACCATTGAGATGTATTTTTAAAAGACTATTTGTAAGGAAAGAAGCAAACAAAACTTATTTTCTGTGCGACTATGACTTTACAGGTGCTCTTTTTTTCACCTTTTCTTTTGTTCTTTACGAGCAAGTGTTGCAAAGGAAGCCAAGGGTTGCTTGTGTTGCCCCGTCTTTCCCCAGTGCAGAAGCAGTCTGGCTCAGAAACGTGTCCCACATGTGGAAGCCCGTCCAGAATATTGCTGCAGAGCAGCTTGGCCTGTCCAGCTGCTCCCATGAAATGTTTGAATGCATTTTTTTCTCTTTTTATTGCTCAAAAGAAGCATAACTTGGCCCGAGTGAAGCGCCTGCTTGGAAGTCTTGAGGGCAAAATGTGCAGCGCATTGCACGTCCACCTACGTTGTTATGGCTTGTGATGTTGTTGTTGTTTTTCTTGTAGCAAATAACAGATGATGGTCTCATTACAATATGCAGAGGATGCCACAAGTTACAATCCTTGTGTGCTTCAGGCTGCTCTAACATTACAGATGCCATCCTGAATGCCCTGGGACAGAACTGCCCAAGGCTTAGGTAAGTTTTGGTGCAGGCTTACCTAAGTTTCGTGACCTGTTGCCTATTTGAGCATAGGAGCTTGGTGACATGCTGTTATAACATCRAGCTGCTTAGGCTCGGGGGGGGTTCTCTAGTCTGAAACTTCATTTCTGAGTTTATTTTCAGGCTTCTGCTGTGAGGTGAGWGCAGCTGCACACAAACTTTGGTTTCTAAGCTCTGTGCAAGTGGAACAGTGATAAAAGAGCTCCCTGCTGTGGTGGTGTGTTCTGCCAACGGCTTCACTTCCTAACAGTATTCTTCCAAACCGCTTGTACATCTACATTTTTATAATGGAAAACAGTTCAGGTTAGGTTGCCCTTGTACTGAGAACTGAAAACACATTTAATCAGCAATTTTTCTTCTTGATAGGTGATTTTTAACAGGGTTTTAGTGATTATATAGCAGATGGAATTGTGTCAGTTTTGACTGTGCTTGAAAGAGGGGGCTTCCAGCWTCATCTCTGCAGGTGCTTGCTTTTTTGTTATTAAGATGCTTATTCTTATTAGACAAGTTTCTTCAAGAATATTTTGCTGTAATTCAGAAAATGACCCGGTGCAGAAAGAAGACAGCGATTATCTGGTATCTATAACAGCTGTGTGGATGGAATTATATGGCTTAAGATACAGTGTCGTCCAGGGGGGAGAAAAGAATCCTTTTTTTTCTCCTATGATCAGCTGATTTAAAGAATTATGGGTACAAAAGTACAACATACAAGTGTATGGAAACCAAAGAGGAAGGTAAAACATGACTTCAATTCCATGTGGTTTCTGGGCTTATGTTTAACTGCAGTTTTAGGGCATGAAGTTTCATAAAGCAGAATGCAGATGCATTTCAGGAAAGTTGGCTTCCTTTTCTCTAAAGGAAGAGAAATACAGAAATGCCAGGAATTAAAYGTCTTTAGAACTGCGGTAGCTGTTTGGCAGAAGGTTCACCCGTTGTCACAGAAGCAGCCGTTTGCCTCCTTCCCAATCTTCTGTTGTGGCATTAAAGATTTACTCTTTCCTGCCTGCCCTCCAGGGTGCCCTACACACGAGCTTGTATTAAAGCCCATTTCACAGTGAGCTCTGTCCTTGGGGCAAAAGGAGAATAAACAAATAAATAAAGGAGAATAAAGAAAAAGAAGCCTGACTTCTTTTGTATTTTTTCCTGTGACCCGCGCTCAGGTGTAGCGGGGAGATGCTCTGTGCAAATCGTCCTCTCGGAGGGCACAGCCTAAAGCGGGTCAAACTTTCCTGGGTTGCTGGCAGCTTTTACTGAAACACTCTGAAAGGCGAAATGACTGCACCATGGTTATTGTAAATTCTTTCTGTGCAGAATATTAGAAGTTGCAAGGTGTTCTCAGCTAACAGACGTGGGCTTTACTACCCTAGCTAGGGTAAGTGCTGATTTCCACYCGTTCACCAAGTCTCTCTGCTTTGTTTTCTTGATAGATCTCAACTACCAGTAGCTTTCTCTCCTGCATGCAGATGCTTGTCGTGTTTTTGGTTTTGAAGCTTGAGGGGAAGTTAAGTGATGTAAATTAGGCTGTACATAATACCTGGTGTCTTCAGGATTGTCCTGAGCCCCCATCTAGGARGACATGCGGGCAATTTGAGATGTCRAATACTTGGGAGTTATGATCTCTTAATGTTTTATTAGTTTAATCTGCGTCCTGTATGACTGACCTGTAATTTAATTTCCTTTACTTTCCCTGAATAAAGGCAATTTGCTGCCTATAAGTGAGGAAAAAATGCTAGCTTTTCTTTAATATACTTAATTTTCTCTAGTATATTTGATTTGCTGCTTAAAGAAGCAGCAAACTTTCCCTTCAATCATGACATTTTCATGGAGAGAAACATTCCCTTCTAAGAAAGGACTGTCTTTACTCTCGATGTGTTTATATTTGCTGTCTGAACTTTGCACTGATTTTGTGCACTCGCTCTTCTGCTTCTTCCTAGAACTGCCACGAGCTGGAAAAAATGGACCTGGAAGAGTGCGTCCAGGTAGGAGGTGCTGGGGTTGTGGTTGAAACTTGTACATCTGTAGCACTGCAGCAAAAATCAAAAGCTGCTAGGCTGCTTTTCCAGCTCGAGAAGGATTGCATCTACTCGAGAGCCTATGGAAAAATCGGCCAAGCCTAAGGACAGATTGGAATAAGATAAAGACGGTGGAGATGATAGGATTTTGTGTCCTGCCATGAGAACGGTTTGAGCCCAGTATTCKGTACTTCCTGATGTTTACAGGGCAGAAATGCAGGCGATCACAAGAGGAACTTAAAATGGTCCAGACAGGAAGTGATTTTAAAAATGAGCCCAGAAAGGAAAAATTGGACTGTGTCCCCTGGACTGCTCTGAACAGACATAGCCCAGCAAGTTCCCTCCTGGACACTTTTAGATTAGAGCTCCATTGGGTCAAGGCTCTCTTTCTTCCTGAAGAACAGGGCAGCCATCTGCAGCGTTGGAAGGGGGTTTCACACGTCTGCTGCTTTCAGGAGCMAGTGCTTAGGAGGAGTTGTGCTCTTGGAGCTGTCTGCTCACTGGCCTCCGCTGTGAGCTTGTCTCATGACGGCTGTCCAGGGAGGTGAGAAGCAGCAGCAAGGCAGGCTCGGCAACCGAGCAGTCCTTCGAGCACCTCCGTTGGTTTCTGATTTGGCCGGGTAGGAATCGAGTTCCTGAGGGACTCAGAGGAGTGACCGTGGCAAAAGTTTAGGGGAAGAAAGGCAAAAGTTTAGGGGAAGAAAGGCAAAAGTTTAGGGGAAGAAAGGCAAAAGTTTAGGGGAAGAAAGGCAAAAGTTTAGGGGAAAGCGTAGGGGAAAAATAGGCTTTGTGCAAAGTGTCCAGCATGAAAAGGCTTTTCCCTTTTTTTCCCCTCTGCAGATAACAGACAGTACACTAATCCAGCTTTCCATACACTGTCCACGGCTTCAGGTTCTGGTGAGTAGTATGAGCAAGACGTGCAGCGTTTTCCTCCTGTGAACAGCAGGCTTTCAGGTGCTGCCTGTGGGGGTGGTTGTCTCTTTGACTTCATAGTTGTGTTGGGAAAGCCTGGAAAAACTCCKCTAGAAACTCGACCCTGAGGAACCTATTGTCCCTCCCCTACTGCTAACATTAAATCATATGCCAGGCACCCAGAGCTGCCTGCAAGTGAATTATAGGACAGTGCAGAGGCAGTGGTGCTGGCTTCTTACCTGGTGGAGACAGAGGCTGCTAACTACCTGTGTCTGGGTGCAGAGCTTATCCCACTGTGAACTGATCACGGACGACGGGATTCGCCACTTGGGGAACGGAGCCTGTGCACACGACCGCCTGGAGGTGATCGAGCTGGACAACTGCCCCCTTATCACGGACGCCTCCCTGGAGCACCTGAAGAGCTGCCACAGCTTGGAGAGGATAGAACTGTACGACTGTCAGCAGATCACACGAGCAGGAATCAAGAGACTCAGGGTAAAAAGCAAAATAAACGAGTGCTCACGCCACAGCCTCGCTGCATCTGGTGGGGAGGCAGGAGAGCTCTTACAAAGCCCCCATAATCTGGCGCTCGAGTGTTTTGCCAGAGCAATCCTCTATAAAGTTAATGTCTTCCTCCACCGAGAGAAGGTGGGATGGGTCTGAACACKAGCGGGTGGGGAAGAAGTGTGCTTGCTGTGCCCGTTGTGGAGGAGTAGAAAGGAGAGCGGGAGACCCCGCATGCGCCTGCTTGCTTTAACGTGCACCTACCCTTGATGGTGTTCATTAAACCTGGGATCAAGAATTAGTGCCACGGCAGACGTGTAGAATGGCACCTCCACCTTGACAACTCTGTGAATTTAGTGTAGACTGTAGAGTGCTTTATACTGATACTTCCCATTTATATTAAAAGATGGAGCTAATCTGTAAYGCAGTCAGTTTGCTGCAGAGGCGGGAGGCTGTATGGCCCTTGTGGATGGGATACGGAGCCAGAGCAGCTTCGTCACTAACTGGATCATTTTAAGACACCCATGTCCCAAGTGATTCCTTCCCGTCTTGGTTTCTGCATCTGTAAAACAAGGGGAATGGCACCCTTTTAACTGCAAAGAGCATCCAAATACCCCAATAGGCAGCTAAACCAGGCCCCRCTCAGCCTCTCTTCATCTGACTCCTGCGCTGTCGCTGTTGCTGCTGCCTTACACGTTGTGTTTCTCTTTTCAGACCCATTTACCCAATATTAAAGTCCATGCCTACTTCGCTCCTGTGACTCCACCTCCCTCCGTTGGGGGCAGCAGACAACGCTTCTGCAGATGCTGCATCATCCTATGACACTGGACGTGGGCATCCTTGCAAACTGAGTATTTAATAACACTTGTAGAGTTACGGTGGACACCAGTATCTTCGAGGAAAGCGATACCAGTGTCATTTGCAAGGGCCAGTGAAAGGGGCCTGTGGTGCCAGGCCCTGTAGCCACCCATACACATACGTATACACACCCCACCAGTTGCAGCAGCCCCGTGAACTCGGGGCTGTGGGAGCTGGAGCTGCGTTGGCTTCTTCTGTAGGTGGATTGGTCTGATTCTGAACCATTCCCACTGGGCATGCTCAGCCAGAAGCAGTGCGGTGAGGAGGGTCTTGAGAACCTGCAATGACTGATGCTGCTGTTGAGAGTTGGAGTAGTACCTGAAATCCTTGGAAAGGGGGAGAGGGAGAGAAAGGAAACATGCTTTAACCATACATTACTGTTCAGGAAAAAAAAAAAAAACATAAAGAAACACGTTTTGTGTCCCTTTTCAGTGAGGGAAGCCAAGGGCAGCCGGCTGGGCTGCGCTCTGCGTCCCGGGCCCTGCTGGCCGCCCTGAGCATGTTCCCCTTGACGGTTCCTCTGTCCCTTCCGTGTCTGTAGCGGTCAGCTCAGAGGCTTCCTAGGTTGTTGTGATACAGCTTGAAATCTCCTAATGTCAGCCTCATTTTTTTTACCCTTTCCATGTCCTGCTCCTTTTTTTTTTTTTTAAACAAATTTCTAATTTTTTTTTTTTGAATTTACCAAACAAATTATGAATCGACAATTAAAGGGTACTTTTCACCATCAGAAGCCCGTGCTACCCTTTTAAGAAGATCTTAAAACAGAAAGTGAGCTGAAGGGCAGGCCAGGCTCTCCTCGGCCCGTGTTTTACCAGTGGTTGGGTGTCCCCTTTGGTTTCATGGTGCAGGTTTTACCCCCGTGATGAGGATATAACCCTTGAGAGGGGGGGCGAGCTCCCCTCTCTCCCCGCGGCTCTTTCCACCTTTCCCACCCACTTCGGAAGGAGCAGCRAAGTAGGATTTTGTTTGTTTGTTTTTCTGCTTCTTGCCCTGCTCGAGACATAACGACTCCCTAATTGAAGCAGAAGGAGCAGCAGGGTCGGAAGTGCCGCGGCGGGCGCCGGGGCGCTGCGCGGCCAGCCCACCTCGCCCAGGTAAGCGGGGCGCGGCCGCGACGTGCTGGGACGAGCCGCTTTGGAGGCGCTCGGGGCGCGGCGGAGCCGGGCGACCCCGGGAGCGAGGCCGGGCGGCGGGACCCCCCGAGGAGCCGCGGCTCCAGGGCCGGCTGCCTTCGCCTCGCCAGGGCTCTCCCAGCGAGGACCGTGTGTCGCGGCCCGCTCTCGGCGCTGTCCCCCAGAAGGGCCCTTTGGCCCCACGGGAGCTGCGTCCCCTTCACCTACAACTTAATTCCCCCCCGTCAATACGCGCTTCACAGCGTCTTGCGGAGTCTGCCGGGAAGGCCCCRGCGCCGCTGCGTTTGGAAGGATCCTGCCCATTCCTCTCCCATGGATTGCTTTGAATCCGATGTATTTATTCACCCGCCTCGGCGCTGCGGTCCGCCCTGCTCCCGGAGCCTGGTCGTGGTGTGCAGCCCCGCTGCGCGCGGCGCTCGGGGCGCTGAGGGAGAGCGGAGCTGCGCGGGCGGCGCGCCGGCCGCTCACAGGATTTGCACAAACAAACACGGGGGTTCCTGCAGCTTGGGGCAGGCGGGAGCTGGAATGGGTTTGTAACCTAGGGTAGAGTTGACTGACTGATCTCTTTGTAACAAAGCCGTTTTCAAGGGAAAAACTTGAGAATTACAGAACCCAAAGCATTATTTTTTTTTTTTCCCGCACAGGGTAACAGCATAAGGTAGCTCAAAACCAGTTGACAGTGTCCTTTTAAGTCAAATTATCCATCTTTAAATGGACTCTTCCTGATGTTTGTATTTATAAATACCAATAAAGAACCATTTTCCAAGCCTGGTCTTTCCCTGCGGCTCCCGGGGGGGGGGAAGAGCCCTCGGGGGCGCCCCGGTTGTGCCCGAGAGCCGGGTTGGCGGCGGCCTCCTCGTCCTCCGCGTCCTCCGCGTCCTCCTCGTCCTCCTCGTCCTCCTCGTCCTCCGTGCGCGCCGCGGTCGGTGTCGGGGGTTGTTGGCTGCAGGAGGAGTGGGTGCCAGGGGGGGACGAGCGGCGTCCTGCGCCCCCCCCGCCGCGTTCCGCCCTGGTGCCGGCACCATCCGCCGATCCCCGTGCAGTTTGGGGGTGTTTCTAGGTATTCATTTATTTCCATTACATGTTTCTATGTATACGCTTATTTTAAAGACCCAAGGAAACGCAGATTTGGGTGTATAGGTGTCTGGGCTGGCTTGTACATGTACACCCCCCCTACACTCCCTGTTCCCCCCCCCATGCTGCAGGGTCACCTTGGTTCCCCCCGTTGTCCCCCCCGGCCCCGTGGTCCCCTCTGCTTTGTGACGCCGGGGCAGCGCCGCAGGCGGCAGCAGACGGGCCGGGGCTCGGCGGTGAGCGCAGGGGCGGCCGCCGCTCCCCTCACCTGTGTGATGAGCTGGGGGGGTCTCTGTGCTGGGTCCTGGGGTGGGGGGGGAGGCACAGCTTAGGACCTCCCCTGGGTTTGGGGGGGATGGGGGTCCATGGGGGTGCTGTGGTGTCCCCTCACCCCGTCCCGTCCCTCCTGCAGCATTGACATCGGCAGAGCCGTGCCCGGGGCGGCGAGGACAGCACCAGCGGCCATGGATTTGGTGAGGAGCCGCTGGGAGCAGGTCCGGGAGCAGGGCGCGATGCCACCCGCCCCGGAGGCCGCCACGCGCCCTGTCCCCACAGGTGCTGGAGGACATCGAGGAGGACAAGCTGGAGGTGGCGGTGCAGGCGGGGGGCACCCTGGGCACCCCGGGGCCGGCGGGCGAGGCGGCGGGCRCCCCGCGCGCGCAGGGCCGCTACCTGCCGCTGCTGCAGAAGGACAGCCTGGAACGCGTGCTCGGCCTCATCTGCGACGTGCTGGACGGGGCGCCGGGCGCGCGGCT